CAACTCTATTACCAAACCAGTGCTTTCCTATATCCTTCCTGAATCTGAATTGTTCCAACTTGAAACCATTGCTGCAAATCCTGTCTTGGCTGGAAATTTTCAGCACGCTATTTACATCCCCTTTATTTATTCCTGTTTTCCATTTATACACCTCTATCATATCCCCCCTAATTCTATGTCTTTCGAGAGAGTGCAGATTCCGGGCCCTCAGTCTATCCTCATAGGGAAGATTTCTGATACATGGGATCATCTTTGTCATCCTCCTCTGTACGTTTTCTAGAGCATTTATATCCATTCTGTAATACGGTGACCAGAACTGAGCAGCATAGTCTAAATGAGGCCTAACCAAGGATATATAGAGTTGAAGAAAAACCTGAGGACTTCTATTATTTATACTTTTAGATATGAAGCCAAGAATTCTGTTAGCTTTATTGCAAACACTAATGCACTGTTGTCTTGGTTTTAGATTACTGCTAACCAGAACTCCTAAATCCTTTTCGCAATCAATAGTATTAAGATCTACATCATTTAGTTTGTATGTGGCATTGGTTATTTAACTGTCCAACATTTAGAACTTTGCATTTGTCAATATTAAACTGCATCTGCCACTTCTCCGACCATTGCATCAGTCTATTCAAATCATCTTGGAGTGCTCTAGTGTCATTAGAATGAATTGGACGGCCTATTTTGGTGTCATCAGCAAATTTGCTTATGTCGCTATTTATTCCCTCATCTATGTCGTTTATGTACATTGTGAACAACAACGGGCCCAACACTGACCCGAGGAACACCGCTTGTGATGTGCCCCATTCTGATTTCTCCCCATTTATGCAAACTCTGCTGTCTATTTGTCAGCCATGCCTCTACCCAGGAAAAAATTTCTCCTCCTATTCCGTGTGCCTTAAGAAGGGAGGCAGGAGCCGTTCAGCGCTCTCAAGAAAAAAAATCGAAAAATTATGGAAACTGAGTTATTCATACAGAAAAATAGCTCAACTCTTTGGCAACACAATGGTACAAGAATCAATGTTCTACAACGTTTCTACAAGAAATTATAGTCATTTATATCAGGTATGGTGACGGCGATGTAGGTAGCGCGTCTGCTCTCAACCCATATATTTTTTGGAATTTTTTCCTTGTTTTTTTATCGCTTTTTCTTTGCATTATTCTTTCTAATATAATAATTGATTATATGGCATCATATAAGAGTAGGTGGAGCTTATCAATAGACGTCTAGCCTATCAGGAAGCACCTGGGTACACTCGGCAGTGCTCCCTCTCCAGACGGTGCCAGGTGAAATCACTTCATTATGCTTATATCAGCTTATATATTAACTATACGGCTTATTTATCTATCAGAATTTATCTAATATGATATAATAATCACTATAAATAGCAAACAAACATGTTATATACTCTAGACTGAATAAAATAGGCCATAATATAGTGAGAGTCCACCAGCAATATTTCGATATAAATGAGTTACTCCTAGTCTCCTTGTTGTATCGTTTGGTCTGTGAGTGATAGAAAACGGTGTTTTGAAGAGGATAACTCCACTAGAACATCAGTTTACTAAGAAATACACCGAAACAAACACGATTTTCGCGAAAAAAAAAATTGAGACGGAGGGCCGGCCGGCGTTCTAGGCCTATATCTCGGAAGTAACTTATTCACTTATTTCGCTTTACAACTCCATTATTAATGATTGTATTGAAATGATTTTCACAGACAATATAAAACAAAGTGTGTTTGAAATTTTAACGTTAGATTTTTTGGAATATCTCAAATATTTTTGATTTTGTGGGGGGCAAAAGGCAGATATTTTGGTGAATGCCAAAAATTCTGTCAAATGTATTTTTTTTTTTACCGTGGTTGTTTAATATATTTATAGATGGGGTTGTAAGAGAAGTAAATGTGAGGGTCTTGGCAAGAGGCGTTGAGTTAAAAGATAAAGAATTGCATAAAGTGGGAGTTGTCACAGTTGCTCTTTGCTGATGACACTGTGCTCTTGGGAGACTCTGAAGAGAAGTTGCAGAGATTGGTGGATGAATTTGGTAGGGTGTGCAAGAGAGGAAAATTAAAAGTGAATACAGGAAAGAGTAAGGTTATGAGGATAACAAAAATATTAGGTGATGAAAGATTGGATATCAGATTGGAGGGAGAGAGTATGGAGGAGGTGAATGTATTCAGATATTTGGGAGTGGATGTGTCAGCGGATGGGTCTATGAAAGATGAGGTGAATCATAGAATTGATGAGGGGAAAAGGGTGAGTGGTGCACTTAGTCTGTGGAGACAAAGAACTTTGTCCTTGGAGGCAAAGAGGGGAATGTATGAGAGTATAGTTTTACCAACGCTCTTATATGGGTGTGAAGCATGGGTGATGAATGTTGCAGCGAGGAGAAGGCTGGAGGCAGTGGAGATGTCATGTCTGAGGGCAATGTGTGGTGTGAATATAATGCAGAGAATTCGTAGTTTGGAAGTTAGGAGGAGGTGCGGGATTACCAAAACTGTTGTCCAGAGGGCTGAGGAAGGGTTGTTGAGGTGGTTCGGACATGTAGAGAGAATGGAGCGAAAGAGTGACTTCAAGAGTGTATCAGTCTGTAATGGAAGGAAGGCGGGGTAGGGGTCGGCCTAGGAAAGGTTGGAGGGAGGGGGTAAAGGAGGTTTTGTGTGCGAGGGGCTTGCACTCTGAAGGAGGGGTGTAATGTTGCAGTTTAAACTGTAGTGTAAAGCACCCTTCTGGCAAGACACTGATGGAGTGAATGATGGTGAAAGTTTTTCTTTTTCGGGCCACCCTGCCTTGGTGGGAATCGGCCAGTGTGATAATAAAAAAAAATGATAATAAGATATATTAGATGAAATGGCAATGTAAAAACGTCATGCTAGTTGTATTTTAAACAGTTGGGAATGTCGGAAGTGCCACTCGTAGTGCCAATTTGTCATTTCATGCTGCCATATATCAAAATTATGTTAATATTTTTTTCTCTGTTGTTTGTTGGCCAATCATACTGAAACTTTGTCACATACTTCTACATATGCACCTCTAAAAGTACACCAGAAATAAAATAAATTGGTTGAACGGCACTGAACGGCTCCTGCCTCCCTCCTTAAGATTCCTCAATAGCCTCTGGTGTGGAACTCTATCGAAAGCCTTACTGAAGGCCATATACACAATATCATATTCATTACCATGATCTACATCCTCAAACACCTTAGTGAAAAAAGTTAGTAAATTCGTAAGATAGGAACGCCCCTTTGTAAAACCGTGTTGAGATTCATTAATCAGTCTGTGCCTGTCAAGATGGCTACGAATTGCTTTGGCAATTATAGATTCCATAAATTTTCCCACTATGGAGGTAAGGCTTATTGGTCTATAGTTCGAAGCCAAGGACCTGTCATCTGCCTTGTAAATAGGTATTACATTTGCCATTTTCCACTTATCAGGCACTATGCCAGTTTGTAGTGATATGTTAAAAAGATTAGCCAAAGGTATGCTAAGTTCCTCTTTACATTCCTTTAACACCCTTGCAAACAGTTCATCAGGGCCTGGGGATTTGTTAGGTTTTAGTTTCTCTCTTTGTCTGATGACCATGTCACTAGTTACCACAATCATACATAGTGTCTTATCATCCTGTTCTACATAATCTATTATTTCAGGAATATCGCTAGTATTTTCTTGGGTGAAAACTGAAAGGAAGTAGGTATTGAGAATTTCACACACATCCTTATCACTGTCAGTGATCTGACCAGAGTTACTCTTAAGTGGGCCAATCTTGTCCCTAATCTTACTTCTGTATACCTGAAAGAACCCTTTTGGGTTAGTCTTTGAATTCCTTGCGACCTTAGCCTCATAATCCCTTTTTGCTTTCCTTATTCCTTTCTTTATTTCTCTCTTTAATTGAATATATTGATTTCTTAACTGCCCATCCCCTCTTTTGATACACCTATATATGCCTCTCTTTTGACCAATGCCACGTTTTAATCTATTGTTCATCCATTTGAGATCATTTTTGTTAGATCTAATTTCCCTACTTGGAACAAAAGTTGTCTGGGCAGCTAGAACTACGCTCTGAAAAACGTCATACTGGCAACCAAGATCACCTACCTGACCCATAGTCAGGACATCCCAATTTAGCCCACCCAAGTAATTTTTCAGTCCCATGAAGTCGGCCAAGCGAAAATCTGGGACAGAGATTTGATTGCAGTTATCTGGATAATTCCATGATATATTAAAACTAAGTGATTTGTGATCACTTTCCCCAAACTCATCATTAACCTCAAGATTATTAATTAGTGAATCTTTGTTGGCAAGAACCAAGTCAAGCAGATTGTTTCCTCTAGTTGGTTCTGTCACAACCTGTTCTAAAAAGCAATCCTGAATCGTATCAAGAAAGTCACTAGACTCAAGATTTCCTGTCATATTGTTCCAATCAATTTGTCTAAAGTTAAAATCTCCCATTATCACAACATTTTCATATCTAGATGCCTTATGAATTTGATCCCATAACAGCTTACTGCCCTCCCTATCAAGGTTTGGGGGCCTATAAATCACACCCAAAATTAATTTGTCACGTCCCTCGAGAAACTGTAACCAAACAGATTCTGTGTTCGATGTTTCTAATCTTATATCATGTCTAAGACAACAATTTAAATTTTCTCTGACATACATCGCCACACCACCACCCTTCCTGTTGACCCTATCAGTGTGGAACAATTTATAACCCTGTATGTTGCATTCAGAAGGCATTTCTCTATCTTTCAGGTTGAACCAGGTCTCTGTTATACCAGTAATATCTACATTACCTATACTTGCAAGTAATCTTAGCTCATCTTTCTTATTTCTTAGACTCCTTCTATTTGTATAGTAAACCTTAAGGGAGCTAGTCACTCATTGCCCTCTACTATCTCTGTTTGTTGATCAATTGATTTGCCATTACTAGTTGCAGACATCAATGCAGACCCAAGTGTTGCAGACATAAACATAAAAACAGGTTAGAGACTTACCTTCTGTTGTGTTTGGACGTTCTGTGACATCTTGTAGAGTTGTTGCAGTTGTTGCTGACTTTGCTGAATCTCATAGGTAAGGTTGACCTGAGGTTGCATAGTGCGGGGTGTCTGTGGGGTCATGCCAGGGGCAGCACTCATCGGACTCGCCGTTATGCCAGAACCCATGACAGCTTGAGTCTGCATCCTGGGTCCCATCTGCCCGCCAGTGCTGCCCCTCTGACTGGGTGGCACGGCAGGTGTTTGCCCAGGTGCCCCCGTCGGTCTGGGACCCAGGGCACGGGTGGGTATCTGCCCTCCAGGACCAATAGGCATCTGTTTGCCAGGTCCTGGGGGACCAGTTGGTCTGGAAGTTATCTGGCCAGGTCCTGGGGTACCAGATGGTCTGGAAGCTATCTGGCCAGGTGTTCGTGGTGTCAACTGTCCAGTCTGTTGCATTTGACCAGGGATGTGAGACATTTGGCCAGACCCACCATGTGGCAGCTGGACAGAGCCAACATGCGACATATGGACCGGTCCACTGTGAGGCATTTGGCTGGGAACACCAGACTGCATCTGAGTCGGACCACTCTGTTGCATCTGTGCAGAACCAGCTGAATGCATTTGAGTGGGACAACTCTGTTGCATTTGAGGACCAGCCGAATGTATCTGAGTGGGACCCCCAGACTGCATCTGAGTAGGACCACTCTGCTGCATTTGAACAGGACCAGTCAAATGCATTTGGTTTGGACCACTCTGCTGCATCTGAGTGGGACCAGCAGTATGCATCTGAGTGGGACTAGCAGTATGCATCTGAGTGGGACTAGCAGTATGCATCTGAGTGGGACCAGCAGTATGCATCTGAGTGGGACCAGCAGTATGCATCTGAGTGGGACCAGCAGTATGCACCTGAGTGGGACCACTCTGCTGCATCTGAGCAGGACCAGATGTACGCATCTGAGTGGGGCCGCCAGACTGCATCTGCGTGGGACCGCCAGGCTGCATCTGAGTGGAACCGCCAGGCTGCATCTGAGTGGGGCCACCAGGCTGCATCTGAGTAGGGCCGCCAGGCTGCATCTGAGTGGGACCACCAGGCTGCATCTGAGTGGGACCGCCAGGCTGCATCTGAGTGGGACCGCCAGGCTGCATCTGAGTGGGAACGCCAGGCTGCATCTGAGTGGGACCACCAGGCTGCATCTGAGTGGGACCACCAGGCTGCATCTGAGTGGGACCACCAGGCTGCATCTGAGTGGGACCACCAGGCTGCATCTGAGTGGGACCGCCATGCTGCATCTGAGTGGGACCACCAGGCTGCATCTGAATGGGACTGCCTGAATGCATCTGAATGGAACCAGTCTGCTGCATCTGAGTGGGACCACCTGAATGCATCTGAGTGCTGCTCCCAGAATGCATCTGAACAGTAACGCCAGACTGAATCTGAGTGGGGGCACCCATTTGCATGCGACTGGCCCCACTCGACTGCATCTGAGGGGGGCCCCCCATCTGTATCTGAGTGGGCCCGCCCAGCTGCAGTTGAGTGGGACTTGCCGTATGCATGGGCGTGGGCACGGTGCCCTGCTGCAAGTGGGTAGGACTGGCCGTATGCATCTGGGTAGGACTACCGGACACAACTTGCCCAGGACCCAATGCTCCTGGACCGGACGACACTTGGACCGACACACTCTGAGTCAGCTGGCCAGATCCATGTACCATCTGTCCCTGTGCCACCTGTCCCTGAGGGGTGTAGGTGCCTGATCCTACCATCCTATACCCTGGCTGCCCCATGCCCTGCTGGAGGTATGGACCACGAGGTCCATGTGGACCAGAGTACCTCATCAACACCTGGGTGCCACGAGGCGTCATCCCCCCCACCGGCCCATTTACACTAGATACACTGTTTGGCGTCCTCGTGGAGATGCCATTGCTCGTCACTGTGTTTGGCATCATGGTATTCTGAGACACGGCACTTGTTGGCACACTTCCCGGGGCACTGGAAGTTGTAGGCACATTGGTGGGCGCCGACGGCTGTTTATGTGCTACCAAAATTGTCTGCATGGGCCCATTTGCCGTGGAGGTGGTCACTGTGGTGGAAGAGGCAGAGGATGCCTGCACCTGAACACACTCACTCACTGACTCACTGCCGCCACTCATTGACGCCACACTATTCACTACATCACCTTGAGTCGCCGTCAGTCCTCCGTTACTTTGGGACACACACACACTTGTACTAGGCATTACACTACCTTCACTAACATTACAAATACTGTCGGGCAACACACACTCTTGTCCATGCGACGACACTGGTGACACTTGTTGATTTATGCCATGAGATGGTCTTTGTCCTGTCAAATTGCCTTGCATATAGCTGCCTGGTTGCCCGTAGCTTTGTTGAGTGATGGGTCGCGCCTGCGACCACTGCTGTGGAGATATTGGAGGGCGGGCAACACCCAGGCCAGGAGACATGGGAGGCCGTACAGAGCAGGCACCCAGGCCAGGAGACATGGGAGGTCTGATAGTGCCAGGACCAAGTCCTGGAGACATGGGGGGTCTGGTAGACCCTGGTCCTAGACCTGGACTCATTGGAGTGCCCATTGACGGTCTGCTTCCCATGCCCGGAGACATGGGAGCTCTGCTTGCCATTGGACTGGGCACACCGGTGGAGCTGGCGTAGTGCCCTGGTGAGTGCATGGGCTGGGTAGGTGTGGTACACCGCTGGTTGGTGGGTGTGTTTCGACCGGCAACCACCGAAGGCTTTACCATGTTCTCCAACTGCTGCAAGCTTGACCCCGGCCCACCGCTGCCTAGGGTAGGGACTGGTGATACACTCGAGGTCGGGGGCATCGAGGCGGGCGACGACACGGGAGTAGTCATGCCCAAGTTGGAGTTTGGACGAGGATGCGGAGACATGCTACGGGGCATGGGAGACATCTGAGGCCGTGGAGACTGTTGTGGATGCGGAGACATTTGTGGAGAAGCCTGAGAAAACGGCGTTCTGTAAGCCGGTGTGCCATTGGGTACCTGAGAGCCAGGGTATTGGTTCATGTCAGTCTGAGGTCGCGGAGTAGACACCATGGGCTGGCCAGGGTGCGGCGGCGGTGGCTGCTGCCCCGCAATAGGAACTTGACCCTGAGTGTACGGCCCAGTCTGATAAGACTGTCTCATGGCATACTGCTGAGACTGGCCAGAGGCTGGGGCAGCAGGATAGGGGTTCATGTTGGGAGAGTTGGAAGCCATGGGTCTCTGGGCATCATACCCAGGGTACGAGGGTCGTGGCGCGTTGGGGAAAGCTATGCCCTGAGAAACGGCAGGATACCCCTGCCCCATACTCTGGGGTGCCATGCCTTGGTAATTCTGTGGAATGTTTTGTTGCATAGACCCACCAATACTGTTGTTGTTCATACCCTGAGTCTGGTACCCAGGCATGCCTGCTTGTGAGTAGTTAGTGTGTTGCTGATAGTGCTGGTTGTAAGGGTCAGGTTGATTGTTCCAGCTGGGCACGCCCTGGTTGGGTTGTACGGTCCTCTGGGTAGCAAACATGTCCTGGCCAGGGGAAGGGTATGCCGAGGAGTATTGGTTGCCCTGGTAGGGGCCCATTGGGGCCTGCTGGCTCGTACCTCCCGAGTACTGGTACCCTGCAGTGGGCCCGGGGCCCGGGTACATGGTCTGCGTGGAGGGCGACGGTGCTCCACCCATGCTTATCTTTGGTGTGGACCCCTGTGTTGGCGGCCCCCCAGCCCCGCCGCCGATGCTTGTATACGACGGTTGAGAGAAGGTGTTGAGGTCAATCTCCGAGACGGAGACTGGTGCGGGGCCTGAGGGGCCGCCAAAGGGTTCTCCGCTGAGGTCTAGGTCACTCAGATCTCCATCAACAAACAGACCAGACAGGTTATCCATAATTATTAAAAGTAATCAATAAATATTATCAAAGATGCATCGTGTGGTTCATGGTGCGCTACGCACGGCAGCGGCAGCGGCGGCGGCGGCACCCGTCACCCTGCAACAACAACAATAATAAAGTTAGTCACTAAACTAAAAAGATCAATCTACATTGTTGCAAGATTAAAAATGTTATGATGAACTTAAGCTAAGCCTAGTTCTAACACTGACTATATGTCTACTAGTCACCACTAGGCCTAGTTCTAGCACTGACCATAGGTCTACTAGGCACCACTAGGCCTAGTTCTAGCACTGACCATAGGTCTACTAGGTACAAGTATTATAATAAAGGTTTGAATTATCGTTGTTTAAATGCTTGAAGACGACCTTAATATCTGTGAAGGGCTCTTGATCCAAGGAACTGAAGCTACCCTCTCCTTCCTTGAATCAAGCCAATTCCCCAGGTGCTGTTTTACCCCTATGCTTGAACACTTCCCCTGGCTTATAACATTAATAATATGGAGTGTAAAACAACTACAGTGGACCCACGGTTCACGATATTAATCCGTTCCTGAGAGCTCATCGTAAACCAAAATTATCGGAAAGCGAATCAATTTTCCCCATAAGAAATAATGGAAATCAAATTAATCCATGCAAGACACCCAAAAGTATGAAAAAAAACTTACCACATGATATATTAAGTTTAATGCAATATGATAATTACAATAACAATAATAACACTAGAATAATCACAATAGAATAATTGACACTTAACCTTTAATGAAGATCTGGTGATGATTGATGGGATGGGAGGAGGGGAGAGTGTCGAAGATTTTAATGTTTAGAAGGGGAATCCCCCTCCATTAGGACTCGAGGTAGCAAGTCCTGTTCCGGGGTTACTTCCCTTCTTTTAATGCCACTAGGACCAGCTTGAGAGTCACTGGACTTGTGTCACACAACATATCTGTCCATAGAGGCCTGTACCTCTCGTTCCTTTATGACTTTCCTAAAGTGGTTCACAAGATTGTCAGTGTACAGGTTGCCAAAACGGCTTTCAGTAGCTGTGTCAGGGTGATTTTCATCAAAAAAGGTTTGCACTTCAAGCCACTTTGCACACATTTTCTTAATTTCAATAGTCATTAGCACCCTTGGTTTCGATGGGTTGGCACTAGAAGCTTTCTTGGGGCCCATGGTGACTTATTTTGCAGAAAAAAAGCACCAAAAACAGTGATAATATGGATAATATAGAATGTACCGAATGTATCCTAAGATGCGCGCACACTGGCTGGCTTGTAAACACTGGACACATCTCGTACGAATCGTATCGCATACAGGGTTTTGTAACAGGAACCGAGGCAAATTTTTTGCGATATAATGCTTCGGATACCGGATTTATCGGATATCGATGTCTTCACGAACCGGGGGTCCACTGTACAATGTTTCACGCAATCCACTCACTGCCCTTGGGAAGACTTCTTGTATTGGCTAGAAGCAATGATTAAACTTTCACTTAGACTGTCTTCTACATGTAGGCTGTCTTCTACATGTACACTGACTGTCTTCTATAACCTTCTACATTTGAGCCCCAAACAAGACCCTCTAATTCTGAAGGTTTAACCTAATTTTTTATCTACACGCACTCTCCTTAACACATACACACACTCCCTTATGCATACACGCACGCATGCATGCATGCACACACGCACGCGCACACGCACACACACGCGAGCGCACACACACACACGCGGGGTTCCACAGTGGTCAGTCCTAGGACCAGTGCTGTTTCCAGTATACGTGAACGACGTGCCGAAGGGGACAGACTCAGACGTGTCCTTGTTTGCAGACTATGTGAAGTTAATGAGGAGAATTAAATCGGATGAGAATCAGGCAAGACTACTAAGGGATCTGGACAGGCTGCAAGCCTGGTCCAGCAACTGACTCCTGGAGTTCAATCTCATCAAATGCAAAGTCGTAAAGATTGGGGAAGGTCAAAGAAGACCGCAAACAAAGTACAGTCTAGGGGCCAAAGGCTGCAAACCTCGCTCAAGGAAAAGGATCCTGGGGCGAGTATAATACCGAGTACATCAACCAAACGACTGCTGCAGCATATGGGCGCCTGGCAAACATAAGAATAGCATTCCAACACCCCAGTAAAGAATCGTTCAAGACTCTCTACACCATGTACATTAGGCCCAGATGGGAGTGTGCAGCACCAGTCTGGAGCCCACACCTGGTCAAGCACATCATGAAATTAGAGAAAGTGCAGAGGCTTGCAACAACACTAGTTTCAGAGCTAAGGGGCATGTCCTATGAGGAGAGGTCAAGGGAAATTGACCTGATGACACTGGAGGACTGGCGGGACAGGGGGCACATGATAATGATATATAAAATTCTGAGAGGAATTGACAAGGTGGACGGAGACAGGATGTTCCAAAGATGGGACACAGTAACAAGGGGTCACAATTGGAAGTTGAAGACTCAGATGAGTTACAGGGATATTAGGAAGTATTTCTTCCGTCAAAGAGTTGTCAGGAAGTGGAACAGTTTGGAAAGTGATGTAGTGGAGGCAGGAGCCATATACAGTGGACCCCCACATAACGATCAGCTCCCAACTCGACCAATTATGTAAGTGTATTTTTGTAAGTGCTTTTGTAGGTGCATTTTTGGGGGTCTGAAACTGACTAATCTAATTCACAATATCTCTTATGGGAACAAATTCAGTCTATAACGGCACCCAAACAGACTTCTGGATTGAAATAATATTGTTATCCGGGGGTCCACTGTATAGCTCTAAGAAGAGGTATGATACGGCTCATGGAGCAGGGAGAGTGGAACTAGTAGCAACCAGTGAAGAGGCAGGGCCAGGAGCTATGAATCAACCCTTGCAGCCATAATTAGGCGAGCAAAATTAGGAAAGTGTACACACACAAACAACTTCGGCAGAGTTTGAAAAAAATTATTTGTTGAAGAATTATAGTATTACGACATTTTAAGAGAACCTTGGTAAGTTACTGATGTTCATCATACAGAGAGACCTCTCATAGTGCACCCCTATGCAACATACTTTTAACTCTTTGACTGTTTCGGTCGTATATATACGTCTTACGCGCCACTGTTTCTGACGGATTTATACGCGTAAATTCTAGCAGCTTCAAATCAAGCGGGAGAAAGCTGGTAGGCCCACATGTGAGAGAATGGGTCTGTGTGGTCAGTGTGCACCAAATAAAAAAATCCTGCAGCACACAGTGCGTAATGAGAAAAAAAACTAGGACCGTTTTTTTTTTGGATTAAAACGCCGACTTTGAGGTGTATTTTCGTATAGTATTTATGGTTGTATTGTTTTCTTGGTCTCATTTGATAGAATGGAAAAAGATATTATAGAAATAGAATTGATTTTGATTGGTTTTACTATGAAAAGAACCTTGAAATGGAGCTCAAAGAAGGGGAAATGTTCGATGTTTACCAGTGTTCAGGAGTAAGCAAATCACACCACATGTCCAATACACTTCAACTGGGGAGTCTAATATTCTTTCACTAGTGCACTATTATTATTTATACCATTTTTACAATAATGCTGTAGTCTGCATAACAGTAAATTTTGTATTTTTTTGTATGAATAAAAAATCAAAATAGAAAGCAATAGTAATATATGAGGAGCCTAGAGACATGACTAATGAACAGAGGATTTGTTATTTTAGTGCCAAGAATGCCTACATTGTTTATTCTAGACCCTATTTTGAAATTGGCACCTTTTTTATTTTGCATGAAATTGGCCAAATTGCCAATTTCTGACCATTTTATTGGGTAGTTCAAATCGGTAAATTGGCAGTTTCTTGTACTCAACTGATAGAAAAAATGGAACTCTAAAGAAATAGCTATGAGTTTGGTCAACTGGAACAACGGAACTGGCCAAAAACAGGGCTCAAAGTCAGCAAAATCGCCAATGTGTATATGTTGCTGAGACCGCTAACTTCGCAGGAGCATAATTCTGCGAATTTTTGACCAAATTTCGTACTTTTGGTGTCATTACCATCGGGAAAATATTCTCTATCATTTCATAAGAATTTTTTTTTATTTTCCAAAAAATTTATCGACATAGAATGATGGTTTCAGAAAGGGGCCTGCGACAGTCAAAGGGTTAATACAATGGCATTCACGTTTATACAAAAATAGCATACTAGAATGTGGTTTTTGCCTAGGTTTAAGCAGTGTAAAAGTTGCATAAAGAGTGGCTAAGGTATGGCAAACCTTGCTGCTATCAAATAATTATAGTCTAGGGAAAGCCAGAGCAATGAACAAGGCATTTAACCCTTTGAGGGGGTCCATCCTGCAGTTCTACACCATGAGCTCAGCTCACTCAGATAAGCTGTGAGCAGTAAATCTGAGCCTACATATGAGAGAATGCATTTATGTGGTAAGTGTGCACCATATGAAACAAATCCTCGACAACCTGGACAAGTATCTTCACCAGGTGCCAGATCAACCAGGCTGTGATGGATATGTGGGGCAGCGAGCCTCCAGCAGTAACAGCCTAGTTGACAAGGCAAGCACCAGACGAGCCTGGCCCATGGCTGGGGTTCAATAGTGAAATTCTTGAAACTCTTCAAAGGTATATTAAAGGTATAAAGGTACACAGTGCATAATAAGAAAAAAATGGACAAGGTTTCTGGATTAAAACAAGAGACTTTGTGGTGTATTTTTTTTACATTTTTTACAGTTGTATTTGCGGTTTCTTCATAATAGAATGGAAGATATATTACAAAAATATAGATGATTTTGATTGGTTTTAGTGATGAAATAGCTTGAAACTGACCTCAGATTAGCAGAAATGTTCGATTTTTGCCAATGTTCAAGAGTAAACAAATCACATCACGCATCCAATAAACATCAGCTAGTGGGTCTAATGTGCATTCACAAATGCGCTGATATTATTTATACAATTACATATTACAATACAGTGGAACCCCGGTTTTCAAACTTAATCCGTTAATGAAGGTCATTCTAAAACCGAAACATGCGAAAACTGAATCAAAATTTCCCATAAGAAATAATGTAAATACAATTAATCCATTCCAAACACACAAAAATATCAACAGAACATAAATTTTTTAAAGATTA